GAAATTCTACCTCTCCACATTGCATGAGGCTCAAGTTTTCATACTAACAAAAATGCACACTCATTTTGACCCAGGGGGCCAGCCTATGTTGGAAGAAGGCGGTAGCAATATCTAGAAAGGTTTCCAAGGGTCAGGACTTTTTCAGAGAGTTCTAAAGCTGAACTTTCTGGGGAGAAAACAAAGCTGGACTTTCCGGAGAGCAGCCAAAGCAGGACTCTTTGGGGAGGAGCCAAAGCAGACAAACAGTACTTTTCTATCTTTGTGTGTTTCACCACGGATCATTATCTGTTGTCCCTGACACACTTGTATAACATCATAACCCTATGCCAGAGTCCCTGTCTCCTGCCATCATACTGCAAAAGGTTGCATTCCTAGGAAAGGCATAAAATAAGAGCAGAAATATCCTGTTTCTTCCACATAAAAAATAATCTGCTGGATACTAAGATATTCTAGAGCTGTCCTAACCAAGGTGGAAATGTGTTAATACGCAGCTTGGTGAAAAATTCAGGAGTGACTCAGAGAAAATAGTGCCATGTAGTAAAACTAGTAGCATGTTAACCAGCAGCTTGGAAGTTTCCATTCCCAGTGTGACAAAACTCTCATTGATTCAAGAGTTCAATCTGAGGACACTCTGGCACACCTTACTTTTAGTGGGCTGAAGCCAGGTGATGAAATCAGAGTACAAAGATACATACAAAACACTCTTGCAAGAACGTCTAATAAACACACCTGCTTTGAAAGCAGTCTGAAGTTTTGTTCTATTTGAAAGGACCACTTTCTTCTAAAAGAAATAACTGCATATTAATGTGATGACTACCAAAACTGTGTTAAAGTGAAGCAACAAGTACTGTTGATGTGTACATAATAAGGCATAGCTAATATTATCTACTGAACAGGTTCTGGTTATTATAAAAAATTCTATCAAGTACAGTTGACATGTTACTAAATTTTGTGTGAGAGACAAAGCTTGTCTGATTACTTCAGATATTGCTGAAATATGACATAAGGGTATAGGGCTTGATGGTTTTGAAAGATTCTATCAGCATATTCAGAAATTCCTTGAGCTTATTAATCATGATTTATTTTTCTAGTGCCTTTTCTGAAGCTGAACTGGCTTACTGAAAAATGCACAGCACTGCTTTCAAGCAGCTTACTGGCTTTCACTTGTCTCTGCACAGGACTGTATTGTGCAATGTGCACAAACTTAATGGTTGGTGCTTAAAGTTCTCTAAATTTTAAAACTACTGAAGAATGCAGGGGTTTTTTTTCCTCTTATTTCAAAGAGCCTTTAAATGCATTTTACAGCCCTCTTTATTTGTTCATTTTCAAAAAACAGTCTAATAGGCATCTCAGGTTAAATAACTTTGATCTAACTAGTTCTGATTAGGCTGAATTATAACAATGGCCATCTGAATATCAGGTGTGTATCTCACATACTTTTTCCAGCCACAGCTGACCAGATCAAAATGTTAGTGACCAGTCTGTCACATATGAAAGCAATTAAAGCCTTTGATTTATATTTACAATCTGCTACAGAATGATACAACACAACCTGATTAAGGGTTGGGGGCAATCTTCAGGAGAATCCTGCTGACAAAGGCTTTGGTAACAGAAGTAAAAGTAGTACAGAGCAAGGTATCTCAGGCAGCTTCCATCTTTGGAGATGACTAAATAACATTCTTATAAGTTTGACAGTCGGTGTTCCAAAATACTTTGTATTTCCCAACAGTCAACTCAGATTGCTACCAGGAATCCCACAGTGAAATGTAGAAGAACAAGTCTGGGGATGTCAATGAAGTAGGTTAGGAAATGTTTACTGTATTGTCCTGAGTTGGACAATGCCTTACAGATGAACAGATGTTAGGCAACTTGAAGGTTAGTGTCAAGCTATTTCTGATCAGTATTCCTGCAGAAATGGAATAGAAACGGTAATAATATTTTACAGGAGGTAGTGAGTTGAGATCTCTTAAGAGATCTGCAAACAGTAGGATGTGCAAGGGATTTTTCAGCTTGTTAAATGTAACAAAACCAGAGATAACTTCATTTTAGATTTTGATGAACCTGTGTAATTTCTCTTTCTTATGAGTTGGAAAGCAAAACCAAGAAATTACACACCATAACATTTTCTGACTTAGAACTTAAAATTCATACTTTTCATGGGGAAGAATAGAAGGCAAAGGTGCTAAAAGGTGCTTACAGAAAAGAGCAATCTCACAGAGAGAATAGCCTGTTAGCATAACTTAGGTGGGAATGAAAATGGAGATAAAAACAGATATTTGATGCTTACAATACTTTGCAAGTTTGGAAAAACTTTATAAAAGAAAGCAAGCCAGTTTGTAAAAACTGTTTGTCTTTACTGCAAGAACTGATTTCACAATGACATAGAATAAAAAAACTGTACCAGTGACTGCTGGGCTTTTTCATTGTATTTAGGGTATTTAAAAGTGCTGGGAAGAACAGTGCCCTCACAAACCCACACAAGATATATTCCCCTGTGGTAGATTTGCTCTTTTATGTCCAGGAATACCCTGCATAGGCTGTCTATTCTCTTTATGGAAAGCTGAAGAGGCTTCGTTAATTTTCAAGCTACAAAGGAGAAAGTTTTTTCACCCATGCTGTAGTATCAGAGCAGAAAATGATACTTATTGCCCTGCTGACTGACATTGCAGGGAGGAGGTAATGAAAGAAATGGCTGCAATGTTTGTCTTTGGATGCTAGTTATAATATTTTATATATATTTATAATATATTTATAATATTTTCTTTCCCCAGGCTTGCTGTTACAGCCTTGTTCACACAGTGAGCAATGGCTAAGCAAAAAAGGAAAGATTCTGGTAAAAACTTCTCAGTTGGACCAGATGATCTCTCGAGGTCCCTTCCAACCCTTGGGATTCTGTGATTCTGTGATTGTTCAGAAGAACCTGGAGTTCATAATACTCCTACCATCCCAATATTCGATGTGGGTCCCAAGCACATGCAGGACATGCCTACCTTTATGACAGCACTGCCATATATATAAGGTGATCACTTTCTCATTTAGCAAGCATTTTTTCTGCTGCCCACTGATGAAATAGCCACAATCATTGCTCATGCTTGCCACTGTGTGCTGGTTTTGTCTGGGATAGTTAATTTACTTCATAGTAGCTGATATGGGCTGTGGTTTTTATTTGTGGTGTAAATAGTGCTGATAATACAGAGATGTTTTAGTTACTGTTGAGCACTGCTTACACAGCCTCAAGAGTCTTGCTGGCTTCACAGCCAGGACAGCCAACCCCAACTAACCAGAGGGATATCCCAGACCATGTGGCATCCTGCATGTGGCCCTACTGCAGTACTTAGAGTGGAACTGTTAAATCAAATTCACTTCCTCATGTAACTCCTCTCCGTTTCTTTCAAGTGCAGAATACTTCACCATATTTTCTTTCTCCTTTCTCTTTAGTTTTTTTTTTACTTTTTACTCAGCAGCATGCAATCTATTGTGTTAATACCATTGCAAAAGTGGCAATGCTGCATATGCCAAAGAGCTGTATCTGATAATGTGGAAGATGCCAAATACAGGCCTGCAAATGAAGAAAATGTGTTCTTTGACTCAAGCATGGCATCTAGTTGGTTCTGTCCTTACTTGGGAGTTTGTATTAAATAGCTTTTTGTAACTGGGATATCCACTTTTGCAACACCTATTTGTCTCACTGGATGACACTTGCATGACACTTGCTCTGCCTTTTTCCCTAAATAAGACCTGCTGGTTTCCAGTGAGTTCCTTGGTGGATGATGGAAACAACCACTGGTACTAAATATGGGAAACTAACTCACATGCTATATGTGAGTTCTGACAGAGCTGCTCTTCAAGAGCTGCTGTGGGTCAGTTAGTCTTGTCCTAAGAGTAGCAAGGCTTGTGTGGTCTGAATAATGTAGCTGGTATGTTTGTTGCTAAATTAATAACATTGTGGAAGCACTGTGTGATTCTTTCTCAGTTCTCAGTTAAGCTGCAGCCATCAGAAATTAAGCAATGACTGTTTTGCTCATTGGGATTTATAATTAAAAATCACTTTTTCCTCCACCCTTCCCACCCCCCAAAAAAAACAAAACAAAACAAAACAAACAAACAACCCACAACCGACTAAAAAAATCCACAAAAAAAAAAAAAAAAAACACCAAAAAACCTCTCAGGATTATTTTAGAATGTTTCTTCCTCACTTATTTTTAAAGGGTATCCTGAGCTGCAGAGGTTCAAAACAGTCCACCTAACTCAGTGCTATATTAATATGGAGATGTACTAACCAGTTTTTCTACATTATTAATATCACTACCTCCTGCACGTGGAATGCTCCTTTTGCCCCACACTGTTTACCTTGGCAAAGAAATAACAGTGGAAACCTGTAATTTATGCTGCAAAACAGGTTGAGCAGAAGACTCTATAGGATCTACTTTACCTTACAGAACTAATTAACCCCACAAACTTTTTTTTTTTTTTTCCCCACAGCCATCATCAATGTAGTGTCAGGTTTAATTAAAAAACTCAGGTAGTCCTTTGTTGCGTAAAAAATGAATCAGAGATTAGTACATGCCATCATGAATTTTGGCAACTTTGTTCTTGGACTTGGCAACCAGAACATGCTAACACAGAACAGATATTTTGAGGTATTGCAAAAGATTTACTTGTGTGTGAAAAAGGGCATCATATTTGGGGGTGGTTTGAAGAATCTTCCACTTCCTTCTTTGGCAGAAGGGAAGAAATAGTCTGTTTAGTTTCCAGACTGATGTTTTCTCACACAAGACTAGTGACTTGAGCAGTCATTAACTGTCTGTAGAGGTAAGAAGCTAGCACAAAAGCATCCAAACTCTTTTGTCTGATGTTAGAGAACGTAAAAATAAACATGAGCAAACTTCTTGCTTTAAGAAGAAATCAATCCCTGGAAAAGAATCTTTAAAACATCTATTCTGAGCATTTGCTTTCAGGCTAAATAGCTAATAAATTTTTACTGCATAGAGGGCCTGTTAACTGTAGTTCTTTAGTAGACCTGTAGAATCTAAGTTTCTGAAGCTGTTGCCTTTTGGAGGAACCTAATACCAGCTACCTCAGAAATTCAATATATTCTGAAAAATCTTTCAGAAGAAGGTGTGCAAAAACACATCCCCCACCAAATGCAGTTACTAACCTTTTTCAACCTTTTGGTTTACTGCACTGCTCTATTCCTGGCACCTCATTCTCCAAATAGCCCTTCAATAGGTGACCCATAATCAGCTAAAAGGTCACATTTAGAATCAAAGAAGCAAACAAGCAAACAGTCTGACAATGCTCATAGATAAGGCACAAATCTGATTTCATGGGCTGGTTGGTATCACTGTACCTGGTTTCATTCCAGTAATACATAAGCCATGACCTTGTTCATTACCACATTCAGCTGAGACTTTGCATACATAAGGTTCATACTCGCAGTTTGTGGCCTCACCCAATTCAGCGTGAGCACTCCCTTGCACAAGTTTTTCTTCGTGAGAACAACATTTGGTATCTTCCATTCAGTCTCACTGCAGCCAGGTGGAAAATGCACACAGCTGAACCTTGCAGTTCAAGGAAGATCAGTACCTCTGTTGTTCTGACCTTTCTGTGTAGGAATTTCATCAACTTCTCCATCTCCATTTATTGTAGCTTTCTTACAGGGTTTTTCCAAGGGCACAGATTAGTGAATTAATAGAGAAAAGGCTAACAAAAGACAATTGTTTACCTAAAAAGGAAAAAACAAACTTGCCAATGAATATCCTTAACACCTTGATCTGATAGTTGTTTAAACATCAAGCCAAATTCTGATTTCAGATACCTCAGTTTAAATACTCAGTACATTTCTTTAAAGTAAATTGAATTATAATGGTTTAAATAAAAATAAATTGCAGGAGAACCTCAGTCTATACTTTACTTCTTCACAGTGTAATTAAACTCCATCAGTTTACCTGTGTTTGCTAGTTGTCCATGTATATGTTTGCCAGTAATATGGATTATAGTAAATTCTAAATTAGTAAAAAAGTCAGTTATTCAGAAATTTAAAATTTAAGATGATTATATCCTGTACTTTATTTTGCATTATATACATATAATGGTTTTAATTCAATCAACTTTAAGTCCTGAACCAGTCTCCAAAGAGACATGTCTAATACATTAAAGGCTCTCTAATGTGTTCCTTCTTCATTAGCAGAGCCTCAGTATATTCAACATTAGCTGAATATGGGTAACATCTACCACTTCATCTTGCACCTCTTCACAAGCAGAATGTGCAATGTGAAGATTTGCTGTGGTACGAATGAAGATTTATTTTTTTTTTTCTTCTTGACTTTGCTTTCAATATAGCTATTGTAATGCATGTATAGCACAAAGAAGAAGCAGGAGGAAAATTGTGTTCTTTAATTCAGAAAATACAGAAAAATCTATACAGGTGTTCTATCTTGATTTTTGCACAGCTTCAAGCTGCATTAGTAGAAAGGCTTCTTTGTATTTGCTTAAGTACAGTTTTTCCCAGTGAGATAACCTCTCTTTGTTTCTCGTTCCTTTTCTGGCTTGGTCCTAGAAAATAACAGCCTACAGGTTTTCTCACACAATAGCTTTTCCACTTCAGATTATTTAAAGAACAGTGATTTTCTTGAGTGATTTCCTCCGCTGTATCAATTTGTATTGCTACAGCTTGTTGCTGTTAGAATAAAGATTTTTAGCATCAAACTTGCTTATGATCTTCATGTTCCTTACACTGGACAACTTGTGGAAGAAAATGCTGTCTCAGATTATTGGACGATTTCTCAGTAAATTAAAACTATGTCCACTGATTTCCAGTGCTGGTTTAAACCCTTTTCAGTGAACACCATCCTAAGGTACAGAGAGCAGCCAACTGACAGAAAAATAATATTAAGAGTAGATAGAAGATCAAATAGATGGATTAAATCGTACAATCATAGAATAGTTAGGGTTGGAAAGGACCTTAAGATCATCAGGTTCCAACCCCCCTGCCATGGGCAGTGACACCTCGCTCTAAACCATATCACCCAAGGCCTCGTCCAACCTGGCCTTGAACACTGCAAGGGATGGAGCATTCACAACCTCCTTGGGCAACCTATTCCAGTGCCTCACCACCCTAACAGGAAAGAATTTCCTCCTTATATTCAATCTAAACTTCCCCTGTTTAAGTTTTAACCCATTACCCCTTGTACTATCACTACAGTCTCTAATGAAGAGTCCATCCCCAGCATCCCTATAGGCCACTTCAGATACTGAAAGGCTGCTATGAGGTCTCCACGCAGCCTTCTCTTCTGCAGGCTGAACAGTCCCAACTTTCTCAGCCTGTCTTCATACGGGAGGTGCTCCAGTCCCCTGATCATTCTCGTCGCCCTCCTCTGGACTTGTTCCAACAGATCCATGTCCTTTTTATGTTGAGGACACCAGAACTGTACACAGTACTCCAAGCGAGGTCTCATGAGAGCAGAATAAAGGGGCAGGATCACCTCCTTCGACCTGCTGGTCACGCTGCTTTTGATGCACCCAGGATATGGTTGGCTTTCTGGGCTGCAAGCGCACACTGAAGCCGGCTCATGTTCATTTTCTCATCGACCAGCACCCCCAAGTCCTTCTCCGCAGGGCTGCTCTGAATCTCTTCTCTGCCCAACCTGTAGCTGTGCCTGGGATTGCTCTGACCCAGGTGTAGGACCTTGCACTTGTCATGGTTAAACTTCATGAGGTTAGCATCAGCCCACCTCACAAGCATGTCAAGGTCCCTCTGGTTGGCATTCCCTCCCTCCAGTGTTATCAACTGAACCACACAGCTTGGTGTCATCAGCAAACTTGCTGAGGGTGCACTCAATCCCACTCTCCATGTCAACGACGAAGATGTTGGACAAGACCGGTCCCAACACCGATCCCTGAGGGACACCACTCGTTACAGGTCTCCAGCTGGACATCGAGCCATTGACCACAACTCTTTGTGTGCAGCCATCCAGCCAGTCCTTTATCCACTGAGTGGTCCATTCATCAAATTGATGTCTCTCCAATTTAGAGACAAATATGTCGTGTGGGACAGTGTCAAACGCTTTACACAAATCCAGGTAGATGACATCAACTGCTCTACCCCTGTCCATCAGTTCTGTAGCCCCATCACAGAAGGCCACCAAATGGGTCAGGCAGGATTTCCCTTTAGTGAAGCCATGCTGGCTGTCACCAAGCACCTTGTTGTTTTTCATGTGCCTTAGCATGCCTTCCAGGAGAATCTCCTCCAAAAATGAAGATATCCAAAATGAAGATATCTGAGCCAAGAAGCCTTTGTGCAGGACAGTGAGTCTTTCTGATGCTGCAGTTTAAATCTTCATGTATGGATTTTGAAGGAAATTTGTTTTTCTTCCAGGGTGGTAACAATCCTACTTCCTAGCAGAGCTACAGAAATTACTTTAAGGCATGCGCCAGCAAGCCAGGACACAAAAACCATGTCAGAATATGTATTTATAATAGTTTTCTCTACTGAACCTTTTTACATTATAGTTCAAATATCTAAACTTGTGTTTAAGATCAGTCAGGATTGTTTGTATCTTTATGTACTTAGGTATTTATTTTTACAGATATCTTCCTTATATAGAGTTGTTTCACTGTTTCAAGAGGTTACCAGTGGTGTAAGATAACTCTGGAATTCTCTCAAGGCAAAAGGGGAAAAAGGTGTGGTGTTTCATTCTTCTAAGGACTGAAAACCTTTTAAGAGAACAGAGCTGCTCTTGACCGCTTACTACTGAGAGCAAGAAATTAAACCCTTTCTTTCTTGCAAGCTTCTTACTTGTAACTCATCATCAAGACGCAAATGCTTCCTGCTTTTTTGGTTGGTTGGTTGTTTTTATATTTACCTCTGCCACAAAACACCTAGCACAGGTGGTGTGAACACCACATGATAAGACTGGGCTTAGGAAAAGAAAGACCAATAGAAAAGATTGCAAAGAGATCCTGAAGGAATTTTGTCCCTCAGGAAGGCTCAACAGAGCTGCTGAAAACAAACACAAGAAGAAAGTGGTTTTGTTCTGGGTATTAGAGATTCCTTTAATAACTGACACAGAAGTGAAACTATATGTTTGTCAGACTGTATAAACACTTGGAAATATACAGATTACAATTCCCTTAGGGAATGGAGCACTTAGGTCCAGTAATGGAAAATATCAGAAAGTTACTAAGAAAGGCACTTAGAAGGGTGGTAAGTATTCTTGACCTAGAAAGTATGAAGGTTAAAAGGGATCAGGTATGGAAAGGAAACTTATGAAGTTCTTACAAGAGACCTCAGTTTTATAAGCAGTCCTAAAGTGTTAGGGAACCCCTGGTCAGCATCTATCCATGACAGACATGAGACACTCAAACCTAAACAAAATGTTTGCATATAACCCATACTTAAACTTAGAATAAAAGAAAAAGAAAAAAAAAATAAAGAATGACAAATTGCAGAATGTAAATTGACTAGGCTGTAATTAGGACCCCACATTTAACTCCCAGGGCAGAACAATAATAGACTACATGACCAAACCACTACCTCTTGGGAACACAAACAAGACAGATTTGGAAACTTAAGTCTGGGGGAAAAAAAAAAAAAAAAGTCAATAGGAGGGGTCTGGAAAGGGTACAGTAAAAGGCTATATAAAGTGTACAAAAACATACATGTTGTAGTGGTATCCATCATTTTGATGAAACTGCTACATTTCCAAGAGCTTAAGCCACCAGCAAAAGCCTCTAGACAAAGATGAAATTCCTAATAAAAATGAAAGTATACTCTTACTCTATGGTACACTTGTAGTTGTTCTAGGAACTGTTCAATAGTCAGCTGTACCTACTAATATGAATAAACGTGTTGTGGTTTATGGTAATGTGCATATGATTATGTGAGGTCTAGTTTACAGTAAAGTCACAAACAGGAAATAATTAGATCATACACCAAGGGAGAATTCTTATAATAGATTCATGTGTACTAAATATACAAGTTAAGGGTAATTTTGTGTTACAGGAATTATGCAGCCACCACCTAGTCCATGTTAGCAATTATGTGAATGCCACCTCAGCAGGGCTTGGCCTTAAGTTCCTCCTCAAAGAAGACAAGTCAGCAATCTGCTAGGTAAATAAGTGGTTTATTTATCCAACATGCAGAGCAGCTCAAGCTGGGTGCCTCAAAGGAGGAACTCTATTGCAGACCATGCATCCCAATTATACCCTTACAGATAGATTTCCTGGCATATACCACCCGTTACTCAATGCCCATGTCCAATCACTCAATTCTGGTCAGTAGTGTCTTGATTTCTTACTATTTTTCTTGGTTTCTGGGCTGGTCTTCTTCTGAAGTTAGCACATTTTCTCAGAATTGTTTCCTTGGTCTTTATGTTCTTAATTCTGCTTGTTTCTGCAGGTTTCAAGGTTTCAGCTATTCTTGTGCTTGCAATGTTAGCCTTATCCAAAAGTTTATCCTTGGACAGTTTTTCTGGCGTAAGGCTTCAAGTACTGCAGTTTCAAGTGCTAAGCAAAGCTATTAATCCTAACAATTCCCAACACTTGGAAATACACAGATTACAATTCCCTTAGGGAATGGAGCATCTAGTCTAGCAATGGAAAATATCAGTCTGTAAATGTTATTCGTAGCTGACATAAAAGAAAATAACTCCCATGGGAGCTCTGGAAAATGCATGTGTTCAGATCTCATACTTCTGCAGTTTCTCAGCAATCACATATAGGGTACTTCTATGGAGGTGTTGTACAGGGAGACTGGCTGCCCAGAGGGATAGAGCAGGACATTCTGTTTCCAGCAGAGCAAATTTTCATTAAAAATAGCTTACTGCTTGAAAAATCTTCAGCTGATCCCAGTTAACAGAGCAACCCGGCTATAAAAAAGGAACCCACAATAACAGATAATGTACAGTGAAAATTTAACTGGAAAAAAATCAGAAATAGCAAAAGTACTGCCCATTTTACAGAAATCAGACAAAATGTCATAAAGAATCTAATGTGGGGAAATTGTGAGTAGATGTTGAAAGCTTGATGTGATAAAGAAGGAACAAAGTAAAGACAAGAGATGAATGCTGTACATACAAGTAACACCTAAAGCAACTTTAGGTTCATGGTTCTAAGATGGCATTAATTTGTTTGGATATGCTGCAAAAAACAGTTGATACTGAATTCTTTTTAACCTTTATCTACACATAGCAATACCAGACAATATAGCATGAAATCATACTAGCTAGATATGTTATACCAACAAAATGCAAATAGGCTAAGCACCAGACTACCAGTTTATGAAGCAGCTAATGGCAGTTAATGGCAAAATATTGTAATTGTAAAAATATCATAACTAAATCAGAGATGCTGCTCATGTGACATAACATCACATGAGTTTAACCATTTTTAATGGAAATAGATGTTTATGCAGCAAAACATGAATACTACAGACTACAAAGCAGATTCTTGTAGAATTATTCCTCACAGCTTGTATTGGGTTTGCATGACAAGATTTTGGCAGCTGGGGCTACAGGTGTGGCTTCTTGCGAGGAAATGCCAGAAGCTTCCTCCATGTGCAACAGTGCCAATGCCAGACAACTCCAAGATGGACACACTGCTGGCCAAGGCTGAGCCCATGAGTGCCATCAATGACAGTAGTGGCTCTGAGACAGCATATTTAACAAGGGGGAAAAGTTGCTGCACAGCAGCAACACTCCCAATTGCAGTGGGAGGGAGAGGAGTAAGAATGTGTGACAGAAACAGCTCTGCAGACACCAAGGTCAGTGAAAAAGGAAGGGGAGGAGGTGTTCCATGCACAGGAACAGAGATTCCCCTGCAACCCATGGTTAAACCTGTGGTGAAGCCCATGGTGAGGCAGACCGTGCCTCTGCAACCCTTGGAGGTCCATGGGGCAGATACTTACCTGCAGCCCATGGAGGACCTCACACTGGAGCAGGAAGATTCCTTAAGGATGCTGCGACCCCATGGACTGCTGGGGCAGGCTCCTGGCAGGACCTGTGGATCCACAGAGAAAGGAGCCCACACTGGAGTAGGTTTGCTGGCAGGACTTATGACCTGATGAGGGACCCAGTCTGGAGCAGGGGAAGAGTGTAAGGAGTCCCCCCTGAGGAGGAAGGAACAGCAGAAATGTGATAAACTGACTGCAACCCGCATTCCCTGTCCCCTTGCCCTGCTGGGGAAAGAAGGTAGAGAAAATTGGGAGTAGAGCCTGGGAAGAAGGGATGGGTTGGGGGAAGGTATTATTTCTCTTTAGGCTACTCTGATTTGACTGGTAATAAATTCATTTCCCTGAGTCGGTCTGTTTTGCCTGTGATGGCAATTTGTGAATGATCTCTCCCTGACCTTAGCTTTTTGTTACGTTTTTCTCTCCCCTGTCCAGCTGAGGAGGGCAGCTTTGGTGGGCACTTGGCGTCCAGCCAGGGTCAACCTACCACACAGCTGTAACAACAGACTGTGTTCAACAAAGGGAGGAAGGAGAAATGAAACAAACTTAAGTGGAAATCTGGGCTATGAAATAGAGAATAGGTGATGGGAAGTCAAAGGAAGGGCTTGAGCAGAACATTGCAGATACAGAGCCTGCAATCCTGCCTGAAGCCTGCATGTAAAGCAGGCTGTGAGATTAGGCCCTGAAATTCATGAAGTATTTCATAAGTGAAGAGGAGAAGTGAAACCAACCCAAACATTAGTCCAGAATTCCTTGTGTATACATACTCATCTGTGTTTGCAGATATATATGTATTTATATTTATATACATAATAATGGCATTGCTTTATTTTACTTTGGAAGAGGGGGCTGTCTAAGACAATTGATACTTTTCATAGATAAAATTTGGAAAAGTTTTAAAGGTTGAAGTTTGTCTAATTTGTTAGTGTCTTAAGAGGAATTTGATTCTTCTTATGGTTGAGGGCAGGGGAGAAGGGGGGAGGCAACACACACACCTGCTTCTGTAAGAAGAGGACAGGGGATGCCTCATGCTGGACACAGCTGCTTCCAGGTGGCTCCAAGATGAACCCAATTCTGGCAAAAGCTGAGCTCATCAGTGACACTTGTGGCACCTCTTAGATAACATGTTTAAGAAACAATAAAATATGATGCATGGCACTTGTGAGAGAGAGGAGTGAGAAAAACGTAGGGGAAGCAGCCCTGCAGAAACACCAAGGTCAGTGAAGAAAGAGGGGGAGAAAGTGCTCCAGGTGTGAACAGGATACAATGGCAGGGAGGAGCTGTTATGGACTGAACACAACCTTCAGTCCTCATCCACCTCTACCACTCACAGGCAAAGAGGTAAAAGAGTCAGAAATTAAGGAATGAAACTGCCCTTGGGAAGAAGTCAGAAGGTTTAGGGGGAAAGAAGTTTTAGTTTTATCCTTGTTTCTCACCATTCCACTCTATTTTTAATTGGCAGTTAAGTCTGTTCTGACCATGATAGCAACTGGTAAGCAATCTCTCTGTCTTTGCTCAGATCCGTGAGCTTTTCCATCTTGTCTTCTCCCTGAACCCTGTTGAGGAGGCAAAGAGATCTCTGGGTAGGCAACTAGCAGCAAGCCAAAGTCAAACCCATCACAGTGGCACGAGAAGTTCTCAATTTCCCAGTGTACATTTTACAGCCAATTTTGGCAACTCATGCCTGCAATCTGCTCCACTCTTATTTTTGATTCTGTAATTACAACTAACTGCCAGCATCTTGAAGGAAGTTTGCCACAGGTGGTATAGATCATGCAGTACTGACATGGTTTATTCATATTAAACTTATTTTAAACTTATCTGAAGAATTTGCCTCTCAAAAACTACAACAGTTTTGTTTAAACACAAAACTGGTACAATGAAAGAGTACTTCTAGTGTTCATTACACATATCCTGAGGAAGAAAATATGACTCTCCTTTGTTAACTTCGGGCATAAGCCATGGTCATCTCCACAAATGAATACTCACCCATATCAGAAAATACTTTGTTCCAAAAAGGAATATGCTATAGTGGGTTTCAGATATATTTTCTTAGAGAGAGGTGTCTTCCTTCTGTCAGACGACATTTTGCGCTAAAGTGGTTTTTGAAGCTGTGGTCATCTTCTTCAGGCCTGTTTTTCTTTCCACACACAGTGTTTGCATTTCTGACTCTCCCCGTCTGATTTATGCCAAGGCTCAGCTTTCAAGAGTTCACCTGCAAATTGAAGGTTAGAATTATTTTTTCCCTACTCAGGCAGAAAGCAAGCAATGGGGAATCTGGGCAAGAACACCGAGTTTCATAAATTTTACAACAAAGGGAAATGTTACTAGAGATGTTTACAGAAAAGATAATACATGCATTGTAGGAACTCTTTCCTTGGAGAAAGATAGTGTAGAAAAGTCACTGTCTCCATATTAAGAAAACTTCAAGCGCTAGCAGAATTCAAAGTCTGATTAGGATCCTTTGTTTACCTCAGGTTAGGTATTAGCATGTAGCATCTTCCCAATGTTAGATCTGAACTATCTCGAGAAACAAATATTGGGGTTACACTTACTAGACACAAAAACCCAGACAAGTGATCTTTTGAAAAGTTTAGCAGAAAAGCTGTTAACAGTACAATATGCTAAATCACTATCTGGCTTTTCATAAAAAGAAAACTTTTACTGCCTTAAACCAGTAAAACTGAGAAGATATAGAATGATCAGTAAGCCTTAGGTTTAAAAACCTCTTTGAAGCTTAAACTTTTGACAGAGCATAAAAGTATGAAGGTCTTTTATAATGTTTATATTCTTTATGTTCTTCCAGAAATAGCCTAAAAGCCTGGAGGCAGCTGTCAAATGACAAAAGAGATACTAGTGTCAATTTAGAGCAAGCATACCTATGAGACAGATGTCCTCCTAGTGAAAATATATTTAAGCTGTAAATGTAACTTAGTTCTCCTGCACCATAACTATGTATGTTTACCTATGCACAGAAAACTGTTCTTGAAACTTTCTCAGTTATGTTTTCTCTGTATCTTGTTCTCACTGGATTGTTGGCCTTATCGCAAGTATCAAATATTCATGTACCAATTTCATGCAAACCAGTCAAGATTTACAACAAAATCAATTACGCAATTTTAATTTCTCATATCTGTGACTTGCTTTCTGTTCACTTTTGTCTGTATCTTATCTCCAAGTTCCACTTATTACATTTATTTAATTCCTGTATTAGTACTTCCAAAATTCTTGACATCTCTTTTTTTCTTTTTTACTTTGTTTCAGAGTGCCATACAGTCATATCTCTCACTGGTCTACCACATAGCAGGAAGGGCAGCCTGTGGACCCTGGTGTCTTCATATTCCAGCCTCAAGGTTAGAAGAGCAAAACCCAGGTGCAAACCCGTTTAATTCATTTTCTTTCAGGATCAGTTGACAAAAAACCATGAAAGGAACCATAACTCAAACACAATCCTTGAAATGTCACAAAGCTGCAAAAAACAATGTGTCTTTGCCAGCATGGTCAGTCAAAGATCATGACGTCTCTCATCAATCTACGAAGAACTTAGCTTTCTACTTGTTAAAAAGATAGAGAACAACAGACTTCTGAACTTCAGCTATCTACCCAAAATAACTACTTTCAGTAATGACTTTAATTCCCCCCCCCCCCCCTTCTTTATTTTCTTCTCCATGGGAAGTGGTTATTAGACCATACCTTCTGTTACTGCAGCAATACACATCAAAACTCTGGTACTTTGTTTGTTTTGATCCAACACACTTCTTTGCATCTGTAGCTGTGTAAGTAATTAAGGCAGGGAGGAATGAAAAACAGTGAAAGAGCACTTGCTGTTGAGCTCTACTGTTACTGCTTCTCATGCTGCAATGTCAATACTGTTATGCCTTCCAGATGGTTTAGCAAGACAACAAACACTTAAATCCATGCTACCTGTGACTTGCTGTTCTAATTTACATGCAAGACAAACACAGTCATTGGCTGCAATTGGGAAAAACAAATGATAAATCTTGCTCCCCATTCCCAAATTTCTCACTCCTGTTGAAAACTTATGCTACCAATCTCTACAGGGTTTACAGAGGAAAGGCCTTTTTAGTACAGTGCTCCATGCTATGGCTCAGGCCTATAAAAGACACACTAGAAAGATCCCTCTTTTCTCCCCATCTGTTAGCATGTAGTAACAAGCTACTTCTCTACCTACTGATAAGGTCCATCTACAATGAAAACCTTCTTGATAAAATGACAATGTGGATTTAAGGTCTCACAGTCCATTCCCAAACTAACCTGTCTGATCCAAGTGCTGACATGCAGAGGCAACTCTTGGCAGTGTCACCCAGTGACAGTCTTGAAACCAGATCTTCTCATTTTCTTCTCAGCTTTCAGACCCTTGATCAAGCTTTACTGTGCAGACGCATAAAACTCCAGTGGGAGCTTCACAACTGGAATGATGGAAAGGACAACTCTACGCCCTCTCAGCTTTCCCACCCACTGACCCATTTCAAACACATTTGTCTGCAGAAGGCGGGTTTCTGGGGGCCCGGCAGTGCCGGGGAGAGGTTGCAAACCACCATCTGCGGGAGCTCCTCGCCCGCCGGGTGCCCGCTCACAAACTCGCGGATGCCACAAATTAAACCGAGCCCGTTCTCCTCTCCTCGCCGACCCCCGGGGAGGCACAACTCACGGTGGGGTCATCGGTAGTTTGGACCATGCCCTGAGGATGCTGCTGCCTCCTCTTGACGAGCCGGGACGATCTGGGGAGCAGTGAGAAAGCTTTTTGTTGCCGTGAGCCGCAGAAGAGCTGCCCCCGATCTTCCCTACGAGGTTTTCACCGGCACCGGCACCACCGCGGAAGCTTTAAGGAAGTGATAGTAATTTTCTTTAAAGTTTAAAGGAGAGCAGCTGCCAAAGTGGGTGGCGGCAGTCCGGCACCGCCGCGGGGAGAAAGGGGTCGACAGGCGGGAGTGAGGCGAGGCAGGGGCTGGGCCGGTGGGCGGTGCGGGAGGAGGTGGGAACCAGGCTGGGAGCTCAGCGCCAGTCTGCTTGAGCGGGGGGACCTGCAGCTCTGCGCTGCCGGCGTGCCCTGCCTGTCCCGACACACGGCACAGCACGGCACAGCACAACAGGACACCTCGAGCCGCCACAAAGCGGGTGCGGCCCCGTCACCGCAGGTGGGTGCTGCGGAAGGGTCGGGAGCGGCAGAGGGCTCTGGCCAGGCTGCCGGCATGGCTGTTCCCGGGGGAAGAGCTCCGTACCCTGCGGAGCGCTCCTTCGAGAGCGGCGAGGTGGCCGGACAGGTACTGCACGGGAGGGCTGTGGAGGCGCAGCTGATGAGCAGCTCCGCTTCTTTCTGCTCCTCGTTAGTTTCTTCCGCTCTCTTTCTCTCCTTTCCTTCTTTCTTCCTTTCCCCTCTTACGTTTCCCTCCCTCTTTCTCTGTTTATTCCCCGTCTTCCCTCTAACCCATTCCCTGTCTCCCCTTTTTCCTCCCTCCTCTTCCGTTTCTTTTCCATTTCTTTCCCCTCTTCTCCGTTTTCCCCTCCTCCTTTCCCCTTTTTTAAGTTTTCCCTCTCCTCGCCTTTGTTTTTTACTTCTCACCTTTCTTTTGTTTTCTTTACTCTCTCATCCCTTTCATTCCCTTCCTTCTCCCCTTTCTCCTTTGTTTCTTTTTTCTTTTCTTTTCCCCTCCGCTTTCTTCCTGTCTTTCTTCCCTTCCTCCCTTTGCCTTTTCCCGCATCAGTGGTGCAGGGGAGCCCTGGGCAGGCTGTTGGCCTTGAGGGTGCCTGGTTGATGTGAAGTGTGTTAGCGAGCGCAGGGTTCAAGAAACATCGGATGCTCTTGAGGTGCTGCAACCTGGGATGTGCCTTTTTTTTTGTTTTCTTTTTTTTCCCCGCTCTACTAACGATCATAAAACTGGGAAAACCCTGAAGAAAACTTTTCTTTTTTTCTTTTCTTTTTCCTTTTCCTTTTCCCTTTCCCTTTCCTTTTTTTTTTTTTTTTTTTTTTTTTTCAGGAGAGCAAAGCTGTTTATAAGGTTATGAATAGATTTTTGTGACCGAAGTTGCCGAAGTTGGGTGGGAGGACTCATAAGCCTGACAGGAGGCTCAGTAATGCTCTGGCACATTGCCTCCTTTCAGTATTGCTCAGAAAAGTAGGTTTCTTTGTGGGAAAGAGGAGGAGTGGCAGCAGGAGGGAATTACCATTTTGCAGTCTGCAGTTTTAAACTTCTTTTTTAATGGAATATGAGGTGGGCAACCGCAGAGCTGGCAAGAGTGACAGAAATGGTAGTAAGAGAAGAAGGGACAAATCTAGCATTTCAGTCTACTGGATTCAACTTGAAAATTCTTGTGAAAAGTAAAGTGGTATTTGTAGCTCAAGCTGGAGCTCAGTTACAGTGACACATTGCTTTTGAAAGTAGGTGTAATATGAAAGAAAATACTGCGTTCATTTTCTTTCGTCAGTGATTTTTTTCCTCTATCTATAGTAAACATATATGTCGGCATCATCTCTTTCCTATGAATCTGAATTGTCTTGGGTAGTACTTTCCTGAGGCCAGAAGAGCCAAAAGTTGCCCTAAAACAAACAAAAAATACCTTTGTTAAGTCTGTTTTCTCTTTTTCTAACTTAAACAAAATGCAGTAGGGAACATACAAGCTGAAGATTTATTGTCTGCTGTGCTGAAAATATGGTGATCTAGTGAGTAAAATCCTGCTCTCCAAATTTGTTGCCATAGCGGAAAACCCACTGCTGGTCTTATGAAAAGATTTACTTTTGTTTTTTTCTAATAATTTCCTCCTGGTTTTCATTTGGATTCCAACATAATCCAGTTGACAGTGGAAAGTTATTCATTGCTGATCATATACAGCACCATAAACTGTAGTATGGGTGGTGGTGGGGCGTGTCTGTCTTTCTGTGCATTTTGCAGTGGAACCTACTTTCCAGGTAGTATCTGCTCCTTAAACAAAAGAACTTTAATTTTTGAGCTGCATTTTGTGTGCAGTTGTCATGCAAGTCAGCTGAAACTCCTCTCACCTGGAGTGAACAGTGAACTGAACAGTGAAAAAACAAGAAAAAAATAGTATAGTACCCCTTAAGCTTAAGAGAAGGAAGTATTGACTTGCACAACAGAGTTAAACCTGTGGACCTAAGAATGATGCTGAACCTTGTTAGTAGTACAATAACTGCAGGAGTCATCTGTTCTTTGCAAAGATTATTGCTGCTGGTACTACTTGTGCTTTAGCTCACTGACGAGCTGTAACTGTAGGCATGGCTTTAAAATACTGGCTTCTACCCAGGGCTAAAGAAAGTCTCCGCAGAATAGTATTTTAAATACTGTACTTGAAGAGGGATCCAAGCACTCAAAAATTTGACAGCCTCTTCCTTCCCCCATGGGATATAGTTGTGGTTTAATAGATAATACCTTTCCTGTAACAGTCTGCCAGTGTGTCCCATTCTGAAATGCAACGTTCTCACTAGGCAGCAATTAGAAAAATTGTATAGGTGGGTGCAAGGAGTGCAGCAATTGCTCTGTTCTTGGCAAAATTATAGTTCCTACTTTAAAATAATAGGGTTTTATATATAAAATGTATATATATATACACACATATATATGTATTTTACTTTGAAGTAGCCAATGGGCACAAATTATCTTGATGAACACCAGGCAGTTGTACTGGATGTTAAACTGGACATCAATGATTCTGTGGGTTTTTTGGGTTTTGGTCTTTTTTGGTTTTGGTTTTTTTTTTTTTTTTTTTTTGATTTATTTTGGGATTTGTAAGTATAATTTCAGTGTTAAGTTACCTTGAGGTAAAACATATCTTACTGTCAGTATTAAGTCACAGATTTCTCAAGGTAAGAACTGGTCACAGAATGATTTTGCCACAATGTTTTTTCTTTCCTTAAGTGAAATTTCTTACTTCTGTAGCTCTGCCTATGGGACCTGTAAGGATGGACTTGAACACAAATGAGAATCAGGCTTTGAACTTTGTTGTGAGGAAGATTTACTTGATACAGTAGTACAAGAGAATGCTGGAAAGGCTGCCAGAACTGAAATATTTTAAGTGCTGTTTTACACACTGAGTGTATGCTCATGTGGGGTTTACTTTTTTTAAAAAGATAAAAGGTTTAGAATGTCAGATTCCTGACATTTGAACGGAAGATCTCCAAATAACCCAGGGTTTTGAATTTATGTTCCCACTTTCTTCCAATTCCCCCTGAAAAACAGCTATCTACTTTTACCTTCTGTCACTATTTAATCTCTGTGTAGTGGTAGGTGTAGCAATATGAGCCGTTTGTGGAGTTTTCTCTAAAGCCTGCCTTCTAAGCAAACAAAGAACTACAAACATGTAATTTCTTTCTATAAAAAGGAGGTGGGGGGTTTTGTGGATTTTTTTATGTTGTTGGTAATTTTTTTGTTTTTTGGGGGGTTGGTTTTTGGTTTTTTTTTTTGTTTGTTTGTTTTTTTTTGTTTGTTTGTTTTTTTTTTGTTTGTTTGTTTTTTTTTGTTGTTGTTGTTTGTTTGTTTTGGTTTTTTTTTTTTTTTTAAAGCAGCTCTGAAGAAAAAGCCTGCTCTTACAGAGAGTTGTCAGTGAGCAGACAAATGCATGCATATGGAACCCTGCTGCTGGCTCTACATGAATTTCAGAATTAAGGTTTTAGTCCCATACACTCTAATAGTAACTAAATAGTCAGTTTATGCACCATTTCTTATTTTCAGTAGGACTGAAGACTATTTAACGGAACAAACATGACTACTTTCTTTCAGTTACAGGCTATCTGATTTCAAGATTGTACTGCTTGATATCATGGAAATGCTGAGTAAATGTGACTCCGTTCTGTGTCTGGCAGATCTCTGCGCCTGGCAGTCTGTCTTTGTGCTTATGTATGTTTGTGTTTATGCAAGCTGCTTACAGCTTTAAAAATCACTTCCTCATAGGAATGAATGTTCTGCATAACTGAACCTGAGTGGAAGCACGTTAATTGCAACAACTGCCTGCAGGAGATGTAAGCTGTGAGGCATAGATGGTATGCCTGGTAAATTCAAGGACTTTCTGGCAAATCCACCTTCTGAAGTGTTGAGGAAAAGTTTTGGATCTCAGGTGGAATTTGTGAATGGGGAAAGAGAACAGCAAGTATCTGGTAAACACCTGCTCATTTACTATTCTCAGGGGTAACTGAACTTTTATCTTACCTCCTTTCAAGGCAAGAAAAGGGAAAAATCAGCATGTTCTGACTAGCTCCCCACCCATCAGAATGATTACTTGTCTCTTGGCCCATCCCCGCCACCACATCAGAGGTGGGGATACTCAGCATTATGTTTTCTGTTTGGCTTTTCTTCAATACATTTCTGTAAAAACAAAAGTATCAGGTTGATGTGAATGGATGTAGACTGTTAGTAGAGCTGCCAGGAAGTTTTCTTGTCATAAAGCTTTGATTAAAAGCTAATGTGCTGTGGACGTGCAATAGAGGCCCGCCTAATGTTCACGCGGCTGGGTCCTCTCCACAAGAGCTGTGTGCCAAAAGTCACCAAAGCAACTACAAGAGAGCAAACCTCACCATCTACTTCCTCTGGTGTATGCTAGAAGAAGCAGAATAATAGGAAAAATTAAAGGAAGGAGCTTGGTGCATGTTAGTTCAGCAGCCCACAATGCTGACTCGTGATACCAGAACTTGCTAAGCCTGCAAGACTTATCAAGATCTTCCCTGCTCTTACTATAACTCGTTTTGACATCCTGATAACTAAGCTCTTTCCTGCCTTTCACAAGGCACCTTTCACTCTCTACCTATCCTCTTCTTAACTTCGGGTGCTGATACTTCCCCATGGTGTATTTAGGAGCAACATTGCTTCTTTTTCAATGCTGAATTGGTGTTCAACATCTTAGCAGGTTTTGCACTGATGTCTGAAAAGACTGAAGTGTCAAAATTAAGATACATGTGGTTTTGTTTATATTTATTTTTTCTTCCTGTGCCATCAGCCCCTAATGATTTTCATCCTGTCACGAGATGCGTCTGTGTACCATTTTGCAGCAAGCCCTAACTGCTTTTTGCAGGGAAAATACATATATGTACTCTAAAAGAGTATGGTAATTGCTTAAATACAAAAAATATCTATTTCGTGTCGGGTTTCAGTCTGGTCTCTAAACTGCTTCAGACAAGATGGAAGGTGGAGATGTGTTTAACACAAGTTGATAGAAGGGAGGCTGTACGACGCCTGAGAGCCCTGTTTTCCCAATGCTGACACTGTAACTCAGGCAAAATGAATATCCCCAAAGAGTGGTGCCACCCTACTGTAATACTGATCAGAGGCTGCCATTGTTCTGAACCTCATTTAGGAAAAGACACATCTCCCACTCTCAGCTATATCAGTCCAAACAAGAGCATAAAACCTAGATTACAGGTTTGCTGGTATCTGTTGTGGTGAGTAGAGTTTTTCAGGGTGCTGCAGGGCCAGGGGCTCCCCATGGCAGCTCCCCATGACCCTGTCTCTCAGGGCATTGACAAGCAGTCGGGTCAGGAGTGGGGCAGCACCTTTCTGGGGGTGTGGAGAGGCCAAGCTGGGCTGGGATTTGGGCCCGGCTTGTCAGGGCCAATGGCCAGGCTGTGGTATCAGTGGAGCAGGGGCTAACAGCACCAGGAGGCTGAAGTGAGGCCATCAGAGAGCTTGGAGGGGCTGGTTAGATTTATAGAATAGTTAGGGTTGGTTTTAAGGACCTTAAAATTGTCAAATTCCAACCCCCTGCCATGGGCAGGGACACCTCACACTAAACCATGTCAGCCAAGGCTCTGTTCAACCTCGCCTTGAACACTGCCAGGGATGGAGCATTCACAACTTCTTTGGGCAACCCATTGCAGTGCCTCACCACCCTTACAGTGAAGAACTTCCTCCTTATATCTATCCTGAACTTTAAGTTTTAATGCATTACCCCTTGTCCTATTACTACAGTCCCTAATGAAGCATCCTCCCCAGCATCCTTGTAGGGCCCCTTCAGATACTGGAAGGCTGCTATGAGGTCTCCATGCAGCTTCTCTTTGGGGTGAACAACCCCAGCTTTTTCAGCCTCTCTTTGTACAAGAGGTGCTTGAGCCCCCTTCAGAACTCCTTGGTTGGACCTGTCAAGACCTAGTAGTGCCCTTAGGGCCCTTCCAGCAGCCATGAGAGTTGACTGCAGAGAACTCCCCAGAAGCTGTTTGTTCCGATCTGCTGTCGAATCCTTCCTGCCCCAACACTGGACACATGAAGCTGCAGTCAAACAGGTCTGCTGTGCCAGCAGCCAGAAGCTGGTTTCTGTGCTGCTGGGCTGAGGCACTTGCCCTTTGTTAGGGCTGGTGTAGCAGGGCTCTGCACCCTTGCAAACATCCTCTTCCTTAGCACCAGCCCCGACATGTGGGTATAGGGGTGGATATAGCACTGCCATTACATGGTGCAGCACCAGTCCAGCCTGTCTGTGTAAAATCTCCATATGAACTTTGGTCTCTCTCTGAGCTGTGTGTGGTATAATCTTGTAGATTGTTTGATTTGTTTTTTCCTCTGAAGACTTGGGTTTCTTGTAGGATTTTCTGTTTGTTTTTAAGGATGGGTGAAGCCAAACTTATCTAAAATCTGTCACGTGGTGAGCTGGGCTCTGAGGGTGCTCCCTCTTGTCCATGGCCACAGCCTTTCATTGATGAAGGTTGTTTCCCTTCAGCTGCTTTGGTGTAGGTACCCCTTGCTGACTTGTTCAGTTAGTACCATGGGTCAGATTAATAACTCAGCATGTAGAGATAACACAAGTTTATACAATAACAAGGTAAAGACATTGTTAATGAAATTAACTTGTCTTACGGTACCATCTTTACAGTAATATAAAAGTTAAATCAGAATGTGACTTTTATGTAGACATATGTTACCTGGCAGTTTGGGACTACCTATTTCACAGACGCAAATGACGTGGGTGATTTGCCCTATGACACGGAATAGATGCCAGAAATGGAGATTTAAACTAGGTATAGTAATCCTTCTTTCCTTAAAGTCTATTTAAATGGAGAACACTAGTCTCTGGTAGAAATCAAGTTGAAGTTATATTGGTTTTGTGTTTAGTCATACCATACAGTATGTACACAGGACTGAAGAATGATTTTGGCAGGAAAGAGGAAAATGAGCAGCTAACTCAACTTTTTACTAACCCCTTCAAATACTAACAACTGCTGTAAGTTTTGCATTTTAATGATTACTTCGTTAGAAATACAAGCTCTGACTTGAGTAGAAGGAAGTAAAGGAAGGAAGTGAGTCAAGCACATAACTTCTGAAAGTGAACTTCAGTTGAGAGCAAGACCAAGGCTGCAGCGTAGTCTTTTATTTATGGTTGAGCAAACTTACCTCCTGCTCTCCCAAAGTGCAAAGTACTGTTTCTGATAGTGCGTTCTCTAGTGTGCACAGTAAAGCTAAGTAGATCTTGAGAAAAAGACGCTAAAAGCTTTACTGAATGGAGTCTGAAGCTTTGTTAATGAGTATTCTAGGCTCATAAGAATTTATTAAACAAAACCCAGGTATATTATTAGATAAAATACACCAAATCTTTCCTTATCCTGCAAAGGTCAACTTTTGCAAAGAATGGGATATGATCAAGTTCTAGGACTTTTTTAGAAAAGAAATTGAAAGCATAAACAAATCACTACTTATTGTTAAGACTGTTCAAAGGAAGCAGTGTGTTGGTGATACAAATTTGACGGTGGGGAAAAACCTCCACCTAGAGCTAAGAGCCATGTTTAACATAAAAATGTTTGCAGATCTCTTTTTGGTACAATGGAAATGCAGGGTTTGATTATTCTGAGCTCAAAACAATATAGGAATTGCACCCAGCTGGGTTTACAAGGTTTTCCGAAAGAGATTTTTTTATCCTACCTTCAACTAAGTTTTATTCCAAAACAGAAGCAGGAAGGCTCTTTAGCAAGCTTGATTCTTCAGAAGTTGTAGAAGGTGAAGACTGCAATTATAGCTTTAGTTTAAGGCTCTGCCTCCCTGCATTGGAAAGCAGAGGAAGGGGGTGGCAATCCTTCTCAAGTGAGTGTTAGTCCACAACGCTAGTGGAGCTAGTGACCCTGTAGAAACTGAAAATAGGATAAAATAGTAGTGCTAACTCTCATCCTCAAGAAAAGGTAAAGCTTCACAAATAAAAGTGCATTTGAAATGCGTTTTAAGTCCTAGAAAAGTCTTAATTTCTAAGTTGATAGGCAGAAAACTAATTTAAGGGTAACCAGTATCACAGGCTTCATCCTATGGAAATATATACCTGATACACATTAGGGAGACTATGACAAGGCTAGCATCCTTCCTTTGTTAATTTCACATGTGATGGATTTTATTTTTATTGGATCTGATCTACTAGTCAAAACTAACAGGACATCAGGTAAGCAAGTGTGTGATAAGTTATAAATATTAAATATAAATATTTAAATATAAATATTAAAACTTGCTTTAAATTATACCTTTGTGTTTGATGCTACATTGCAAACAAAAAGTGGTAATTGTGGAATTTCCCCTTTTTAAGGTTTGGTTGGTTTTTTGTTGTGGGTTTGTTGTTTTTTGGGTTTGGGGTTTTTTTTTAATTCAAATTCCTAGTGTGAAACCTGATACTTCAAAGGTTCCTCCCTGTGCTTTCAGCTGTAAGTGCACACTTACCTTAAGGGTCAAAAATTTAGTTCTTCCAGTTTGACACCTAAAACAGACTTGGAACAAATGTCCACCTCCCTAAGATAAAATTAGGAATGCAGGATACAATAATTACAGGTGTAATTCTGAAAACAAATTACACTTTATAGTAAATAAGATATTTATATAATGCTGTTAGTCATAAATAAATGCTGTTAACCACAAACAGTTTGTGGTCACTGCCTGCTAGTGGCTTGAATTACAAAATGTTTTCTTATAATACTTCCTTAAAATACTGCTGATCATTACTGCTGTGCTAGACTTCTGTGCAGTGATCTGCATCTTCCTCCCATCTACTAAACATGGGTCAATTCCCCCATCAGTTTGCAGTGCTATGGGCAGAGTGGGGGACCCAACACATAGTGCATCCCAGTGGCAGCATTATTACCAAAATACTTGGTAGTATTTAATGTCAGGCCTTAATTTCTTATGTGCACCTGTTCTGAGATTTGCAAGTAGCAGGTTAAAAGCCACGGTCTGAGAATTAAAAGCTAACATGATACTGGAGTCGCTTCAAGAAAAGGGGAGGGGAGGATTGAGTAGGAGGAAGAAAAATGCTGACACAGTGTACACTTAACGCAACTTTTCTTACCAGTTTTTTGGGGAGTAGCAGTTATGCTTAGAGCTGTTCAGAAAGTGATTCAGAGGTGCTATATTTTTTTCTTGAATGTAGTAAAAAATGAGGGGAGCTGTAGATCTCTCAAGTACTTCAATATTTCATAAACTTTTTAACTTTAAAATTAAAATTTTGGAAGACATTCTCTATAAACCATATGGGCTTTTGCAATAGGAGGTTGGTTTCAAATGCAGATGTGCACTGAATTATTAGGCAGTGTAAGTAGAAATGGCATTTGAGTGGCAATGTAAGTTGTTTAAGCATACCCTGTTCTTGATCAGTTTACCTGCTGGGGTAGTACTTACAAAAAAAGACACCTAGTTCTGTAATCTAGTTCTTGACTGCAGTTTTCTCAACTGCTACAGCTGTAGCTGCTTGCTTTATAGTGCAGTGTTCCTCTCACAGAGTACTGAAGCAGGAAAAAGGTGCTTAAGGAGAAAGGGGGTTAACAAATAAAAATTATGTAGCTCCTGTGAAATAAAGGTGAAAATAAGACTGTCAGGTTATAAATCTTGTAACTCAGCCTGACATATTTCCACAGAAAAGCAATTGCTGAATCATAAAAACCACGTGTGTTTAAACAATAATAAGACAACACTGTTGTGCTCTTAGATAACTGAATTTGCAGTGACAGCACAAATCAGCTTTAGAGATAAGCCATTAAATATTGCCTTTGACCTTAAAAAAGTACTTCAGCAATTCAGCCACAGGTATTCTCACCACTCTGAAAGTTGAGGAGCTATGCTATACTAATTTCTTTCTCCTCTTCTCATCAGCTCTGTCCTGATGGTATTTCCAAGCTCATTTGAAGGATGTGGAAGACACTATCTCACGCAAAAATCTTGAAAGGCTTTGGGGTCTGCTTTCCCAGTGAGAAGATAACACATGACTAGCATCCAGGAAGTGAGTGGTAAGTTATAATGAAATACAAGTCAATGCTGAAGTGAGTATAAAACATTCTTGCCAAACTCTGAAGCATGAATTAGCACTAAATTATTGCTTCTCATTAATATATCTGATTTACTGGCTTTAATTTTGCCAGATGCAGCTGAATCAGCTCTGTTTTCTTACTGAACTTCTGTTTGTAGTCTTAGTACTACACTTAGTAGAGTCTCATGAAAACTATCTGCCTCTTCCAAACTTTTTCTACAAAAATAAATGAATTTTGTTCATTAATTTCTAATTCAATAGACATTTTTGGCTAATGTATTCACCTTCTTACTGTCTCTAAATAACAATGTAATATTAATCAGTAACTTTCTAAAGAAACCTTTTAGTCTTTGAATGACAGTCATATTTAATTTTATTTTAGGATTTTTTCTTCAACAACTCACCAAATTCCTGAGAAACAGAGATTATTTTTTCTGAAGTTGTTAAAGCTGACATGAGCAGAGAGGAAGGTGATTTTTTTAGCCCTACAAATCTACCTAGTATTTGAAATGCTGAAGAGGAAATTACGGTTTTGCCACAACTTACGCTTCAGGCTTTTCTTGGGTTTAACTCTAATTGTAGTAATCATTTCAGTTTTGAAAGTCAACCAGAAACAAGACTTCTTAAATCAGAGACATCTTGAGCTGACACAAGAAGATCCTGTTGGCAATGTTAACTGCACCAAGATTATAGAAGGGGATATAGAAGAAATTCAAAAAGTAAAGCTTGAGATGTTGTCAGTGTCATTTAAGAAGCGCCCCAGAGTAACAACAAATGATTATATTAACATGACAGCAGACTGTGCCTCCTTCACCAAGACTAGGAAATACATTATGGAACCTCTCAGCAATGAAGAAGCAGAATTTCCAATAGCTTACTCAATAGTGGTTTATCACAAAATTGAGATGCTTGACAGACTTCTAAGGTCAATCTATGCCCCTCAGAATTTTTACTGCATTCATGTTGACAGAAAGTCTCCAGAATCATTTTTTGCTGCTGTGAGGGGAATAGTCTCATGTTTTGATAATGTCTTTATTTCTAGTCAGTTAGAGAATGTTGTGTATGCTTCATGGAGTAGAGTGCAGGCAGACATTAACTGCATGAAAGACCTCTACAGAAGAAGTACAAAGTGGAAATACCTAATAAACCTCTGTGGCATGGACTTTCCAATAAAGACCAACCAGGAAATAGTAGAGAAATTAAAAGCCCTTAAAGGTGAAAACAGCTTGGAAACAGAAAAAATGCCTGTTTATAAAGAAGTAAGGTGGAAAAAACACCATGAGATTATTGATGGTAAAATAAAGAACACAGGCATAGACAAACAACTACCACCTCTCAGTACTCCAGTCTTTTCTGGTAGTGCCTATTTTGTAGTCAGCAGAAAGTTTGTTGAATACGTATTAGAAAGCAGCAAAATACTTAAGTTCATTGAATGGGCAAAAGACACTTACAGCCCAGATGAGTACTTGTGGGCAACAATTCAGAGAATCCCTGAAGTCCCAGGTGCAGTTTCTTCCAGTGACAAATACGATGTTTCTGACATGAATGCATTGGCCAGATTTGTCAAGTGGCAGTACTTTGAAGGGGATGTGTTCAAAGGTGCACCCTACCCACCATGCAGTGGAGTTCATGTTCGCTCTGTCTGTGTTTTTGGGGTAGGAGACCTAAACTGGATGTTACGAAACCACCACTTCTTTGCTAATAAGTTTGACACTGATGTTGACCCTTTTGCAGTGAAATGTTTGGAAGAGTATTTGCGACACAAAGCTTTATATCTGCAGAAGAACTGAAATACTGCATGCTCCTGTGACGAAACATAGGTACAAATATTATACAGCTATGTACTTTTAACTTGTAATGCCAATGGTAGTGATGCTGATCATGGGTATAATAGTTCTCACCATGTCAATATGGTAGTGATGACACCCTGACTTGTTCATAGACAAGAGGGACAAAAGACATCAAGATGGGGATGACTTGTGTTGCACACTGATGTTTAGAACTTCAGGTATAAAACAGAAGATAGCAATTTTTAGAAGGTCAACAACTTGGAATATTTATTATCTAAAAATGTAGTTAATGGGCTTCCTTTGGCTAAACTATTTGTTTCAAGGCTTGGAAAATGCATGTTGCTCATTATTATTTGTCAGGTTTTTTTCCCATGAATGTAATGCTAGTTGAAAGGGAAAGATGAAGAGGCAGGAATAAACGGGGGAAAAAGCAGCTGGACTGCACAGGCTTTGTAGTGCTGAAAGATCTCAGGAAAATAACACTATAATTAATCTGAAAACTATATAAAAGGGAATATACCAAAGCAAGCTGTCTTCATTTAATTTAAATCTGATTGCTGTAATTCTGTAATATGTAATTGTTAATCTTCCTGAATATTTCAACTTCAGCATGGAATATTAAGGACTTGTGTTTAAATTTTTGTAGTCAAATCTTGCTTTTGTACTCTTAAACCCCACAATAATGTGATATAAAGTTTATACGCTACTTTGTAATTACATCTTCTCAGGGAAAAGTTTTGTGCCTGATGAGAGTTAGACTTGGAATTTTATACTTTTCACTGTATCAGGAATCTTGCCTTTGGATCTAAAATGACTCAAGTTTCTCAAAAAACTTTAAAGAACTTCAGCAGTGTCTTAAGTGTCACTGGCGGAACTGCTGGTTTCTTCTTCTGTCAAGCTCAACTTGTATTCCAGGTTCTTTTAACAGTGAGTATGCAAAAATAAAGTTATTTTTCTTAATGATATTGTGTCTTCCTATAAGCTCTTCTAGAGGCACCACCAAAATCCTAATGACGAAGACCTGAAATGTTTTGCCATACACAACTTGAAGCTGCAACTGAGACAAATCCTATCTTTCTTTCGTATGTTTATTCATTCATGTGTCTGTGCTTGTTTAGGTTTAGCTGATGCAGCTGACTTTTATTTGCTTCTTTTGGTGGAATGGAAAGGAGGAAATCTGGATGAGTTGTGTTACAGGTTAGGTCCCTGTTTCTTGCTGTGATGGCAGCATGTGTTTCTTACAAAGGTAGCTTGTAATGAAGTTTCTCCTAAGGTGTGCTCCGACACAACCATAATGAACTGCTTACTGTTGATCATGCAAATAAGCTAGGAAGGCAAGCAATTTAAGATTAAATGGGGCCTTTTCTTGATAACTCCCACTTTCAAAACCACCTGAAAGTTGTTTAGAGAGTCTTCAGAGACTCTCACATGATGTATAAACAGGCAATTAAAGTTTGTCAGTTGGGGCAGTGGTGGGGAATACCCTGTCGTACTCACCCTTTGGCTTTTCTACAAAAAATGTTCTTACAGTTATGCGCTACCACCTTTGCAGCAAGATGTAACTTCACTGCATATAGTACTTGGAAATTACTATTTTAAATTATTATCATATCTTACCATTAGGGATGTCCCTGCTTAGAAGCAATTTACAGAAGCAGATTCGAATACAGAAGCAGGTTCGAATTCTAATGCATTGCTTATCATGCCTCACCAGAAGAGCAGGTTCCCACCCTAAAGGGCTCTCTTGCTAAGCAAGCAGAAGGGCAGTTCCTCACCCACAGAGGGGCCCCCTGTTGAGCTAGCAGTCACGTTTAGGTGCTAAGTCAGTCATGCTAAAAAGCAAAGTTATTTCAACTAAGGCCTAATGGCTTGGTCTCAACTACATCAACCCTTCAACCATTAATTCTGAATATAATGGTGCTCTAATACAAGAAAACTGCAGGTTTACTCTGATCATCTTCAAGTTCCCTCTCAGGTTAGAAGACAGCACACTGACCTTCACGAGGGTTGAACTTGGAAGCTGGACAAAGGATAGAGCAATTAAAATTACAGTCAGGATGGTGGGTTCAGCTACAGTGCTGCTCAGGGCACTCAGAGAACCAGCTTTTTCCACTTCCTGCTGCATGCACCCATCTTACACCAGCCCTTGCACTGTGACCTTATCATCCTTTGGGTAGGCAGGAAGGAAACTGGTTTGCATTCTGCCTACTGAATAACCTTTTATTTTTTTCTCCTTTATTTCAAAACTGGTTCAGTTTCACAGTTCAGTTCACCATTGCTGGGAAGGAAAGAGTAGCCTGTGAAACCATTGCTAAAGTAACATGTATTCTGGTCAAAATCCCCCAGCTTGTCTTTTTAATTTTCCATAGCAGAATTTTTCAAAAGAGCTCAGTACATTGGATACACTTCTATAGTTTAGTCCCTACTTTCACATCAGCATTTTGAGTGCCCCTAATACAATAACAATTTGCTTGTTTTACTGATAATAATGGTGGTAACCAAGTATCCTGTATCACTGAGAGTCACTGAAAGGCTGAAAGCCTTTAGGTTCAAAGGCTGATTTGATCCCAGAAACCTAGCACTTGTGCTTTCACCTCCTTCCTGCCTTAAGTTTAATTTGACAGGAAGCATGTGTTTGGCTGAACAGTTTATTTTCTCACTGCTTCCTATCTAGCACAACAGAAAATGACAAGAAACCTTGAAGATGAACACTGGATATATAATTAAGGTTGCCAACCAGATCATCATTACTTGGTACATTTCCAAGTGGCTTGACAATTAAAAATTGGCCTGAGTTATAATACGAATGCATTAGAAGATAAAAATGAAAGAAGAGGCCATCTGCTCTAACATACTTGTACTGTGCTGATAATCCTTTCCTCCAGATTCACTATTATTGCTAGCTCTGAATGGCTGTGGCAGTCATTAAAAAAAAACCTGTGATTTCATTCAAGTTCTGTTGCAACATTTCACTGGTTTGATTTATAGCTTCTTTTACTATTGAAATTCTTTGTTGGCTTTTTTCAGGGTTTTGTGGTTTATTTGTCACTTAAAGAATATATCAAAGAGAAAATATTATAGTGGGCACTTCTTAAGTCAATTAAAACATTGGAAATTGCATTATGTAAAATGGCTTCCCAATTCCAGTTAGCAATACCATTCGTCCTCAGCTTAAAAATTCAATAATCTAGCAGACCAGTTTCCATAGTTTTTGAATTCTCTTCTTTCCAATAGATCAATTTCCTCAGTTGTGTTTTTAATGCCCTAGACTACAGTGTGGTAAATTAAAACTAACCTGATTTAAACAGGCAAGGAGCCTTCTGGGTGCCTTAGACAGCAGAAGTTAAAAGGCAATACCCTTTAGGCTATTTATGTCCTTTATTCCAAACCAAGTTACACAGTTTTCAAGAATCTACACGAATCCAACTTATCAAGTTTTTTTCCTCATACGTATCCTAAACTTTTCTATTTTATAATTGAAATCAGCCAGGTTTTTACTTTTTGCATACAAATAACAATTTAGGGGTTTGTTTCTTCTTTTCTTTTTTTTTTTTTTTCCTCTTGTGCATCAGTCACTAACCTCACACAGTTTGCATTTGCATTATGTTCACCCTTATTTGCTTTGCCGTATGTTATAACACCTTCAGACAGAACTATTTTGCTCAGTGGCCTCATGAGAGTTGGGCTTGTTCAGCCTGGAGAAGGGAAGGCTCAAGAGAGACCTTATAAAAGTCTTCCAATACCTAAAGATGGCTACAAGAAATCTGGAGAGGGACTTCTCACAATGGCCTATAGTGATAGACAATTGAGAATGGGTTTAAACTGAAAGAGGGGAGATTTAGATTAGATACAAGGAAAAAAATCTTCACTATGAGTGCGGTGAGCCACTGGAACAGGTTGCTTTTGTGTTTTAAGCCCAGCTGGTAATTCAATACAATGCTGCCGTTTGCTCACTCTCCTCATTCCCCCCCCTTGGGTGGGAGGGGAAGAGAACTGAAACAAGGTAAATCCCACGGGTTGACATAAGAACAGTTTAATAACTGAAGTACAATATACTCCTACTACTAATCATAGTAATAATGATAAGGGAAATAACAAGGGGAGAGAACATAAAACTGAAAAGGGAAAGGAAAAATAATCAATAAACACAAGTGATGTACAATGCAATTGCTCACCACTCACCGATACCCAGCGTGACCTGAGCAGCAATCTGGGCCTTCTGGGTGACTCCCCTCAGTTTATATAATGGGCATGCCATGCTGTGGTATAGAATAACCCTTTGGCTAGTTTGGGTCAGGTGTCCTGTCTCTGCTTCCTCCTGGCTTCTTGTGCCCCCCCTCACTGGAAGAGCTTGAGAGTGAAAAGTCCTTGCCCAGGGTAGGCGCTGCAGAGCAACAACTGAAACATCAGTGTGTTACCATTGTTGTTCTCAGACTAAAGCCAAAACACAGCACTGCACCAGCTCCCAGGAAAAGAAAGAAACAAAAAAACAAACCAAAACACCACCCCCCCCCCCACAAAACAAAACAAAAAACCTGTTACAGCTAAAACCAGGGCAGTTGCCCAGAGAAGCTGTGGCTGCCACATCCTTGGCAGTGTTCAAGGCCAGGTTGGGCTGGGCTTGGAGCAACCTGGTCTAGTAGAAGGTATTCCTGCCCATGGCAGGGAGTTGGAAATAGATAACCTTCGAGGTCCCTTTCAACCTAAGCCATTCTATGATTCTATGATTTAATTTCTGTGATTCCACAACTGAGCTTTGATCTTGGAGCCTTACACATGGTTGGGTTCTTCTAAGATCTGACAGTATTCTTTTTGATTTCTTTGTCCTCTGTAGCTATAATAGAGCTTGACCAGAAAAAGTTAAGAATGCAAACATCACATCCTCAAATGAAGCCATAAGCTAATCCATTTGTGTGGTACAATAGTGGGATGCTAGGAGATGGGTCCTACTTTTTCTTGGAGTGCAGTCAGAAGGAAAATTAGTCTGCCCTTGTATATGTCCCTCTTTGGACACAAAAAGAAGTCAGCACAATCAGATTAACCTTCTCCTACATGCTGCTCTAAGAAGATATTTAGCTTTCTGGCCAGTTAAAGACTGTTGTAAAGATAGCTATGATGATGAACTGCAGAAAAGCAAATCTGGTTTATGTTATTATTTTCAGATGAGCTCCCTCTTGCCTAGGAATGTCTGTATGTCTGGACTTGTAAGGTACCTTGAAAAACTACTGTAAAAAAGATGCATGTGTGTTCGTATAGCTTGTCTTCTGTTTGGACAAGAGTAGTTTAGAGTAGTTCAGACTGAGAAAAGACATTATGCAGGCCTTTGGTGGGAAATTGATACCTGATATGTAGTCAGACAATCCCAAGCAAAAGCTTGGCTTAGAATTAGTACATCAGAATATACCAATGGAAATACTGTCTTTTATATACAGGCATTGGGGTTGTAGTATAATTTTTTTTTTTGGCAGAAGGCAGTATTTAGTTAACGTTTGTTAAGAGCTACTCTCTTTAATTGCTGGAAAAAAAGTAGAAAAAATAATTCCACTAAAATGATTTCACTTTCTGCCGAGTCCTCTGTGTCATTCATTGGCAAAGGTAATGGAAGAAAAAATACCAGCAACAAAAAGTGACCATGAATTTTTTTTTACATTAACAGCACTGGCTCCAATTTTCTTTCCCATATTTGGTATTGCCTAAACTGCAGCAAACAACTGATACAATTTGTATTTCAAACTGCTAGCCTTGGCCAATTTTCAAAAAGAACTGAAAGCACCTAATGTGGGAACTTGAATAGTGATGTCCAAAATTACATTCCTGCCCTACTGCACCTGAAGCTAGAGGCATCTTCTTTCCATCATATTCTTTGATCTTTCATGCTTTACCTAAACACGTGAACCTACATGCCTCCTTCCACCCGACTTGGCCCATGCTGCAGCACATAGTCTTTTAAGTTTGCATGAAAACA